ATCGATTTATGGCTCTCCTTTCTCAATCTTTTAATGATCGGTTTGCAAAGCAACATGCACGTTCCGAAAATGATTTACTTGACAATCTAACCGTTCATTGTTACGATATACCAATACGTAGACTCATTAGTGAAGATAATCCTCAGGTTGATATTAATCAAGAAAACGTGGTTCAATCAGCAGATGATGAACCTGAAAACTTGGCACAGCAACCATTATTTAACTTAGAAACAACAAATTTGTAAAATAATAATAATAATAAATTATTTTTTATTAACCAATCATATTAAACCTTGAATTGACCAATCAGACAAATGTCTGGGATGCTCGAACTGAGGTACAACAAAACCATCCTTCGATTTTTTTTTGCTTAAACGGTCAACATAAAACTTGAGTACAATGTCAAGAAATTTTACATTATTGGTTGAATGGCCAAAGAAATTTCTCTTCATACTATCCACTGTAACCTAATGCAATGGCACCATTCAAAATAAGGGTGTAATGGCCGTTAATAAAGCAATCAATAAGCTTTTAAATAAACTTATTTTTATTTCTCTATATTGCGTAATTGTTAAGATATAGTAGTTTATTTACGCGCCGTTTTTTTGCAACGCACTGTATTTACTCTTTGATCTCTCCTTTCTGATTGATCTGACGCATCGTCTGCCGCATCGTCTCGGTCGAAACGACGGCTTATAATAAACGAACTTACAGCCAATGCCGCTGCCACAACTAAGCACCACCATCACACAAAACCAATGTGCCGTTCTGCAAATAGAGCAAGAGTAAGCAGGCAACAGACATCAACGATCAAGGTATGTTGACTAATCAACATCTTTAAATAATACTTCCCAGAATCATACCGTCATGTCATATATATACGTACTTATTTATTTTTCAAACATTTTTGCGAATATATGTGTAATTTTTTAAATATATCTAGTCGTAATGTGCAAGCCCAGATTAGCAGGTATGATTTTTTGTAGAATCATAGGTAGAATAAAAAAACATTATAATACTCATCTTGTATTTACATTCGAAAAACTTCGTTGGATAGCTTCAAGACGTTCCAACACATGATACAAGCTAGGCTAAAAGTGAGTTTTTTCTTCTTAAGCATTCGATTCTTTCCCCGAAAACATTTAATTAGAAGATAACCCATTTTCTCATTACCACATCTAAACACGCATCTCATTGTTTCGAAAAACCATGCTGGCATATTATTGGATTCCAAAAACTACGACTATACTATCACCCATGCCATAACGAAAAAATCCAATATTAATATATACTGTAAATTCGGCGTACACCCCCACCTCTAGACGAGCGTTAGTTCATGACTATAGAATCAAATAACTAGTAGCTGAAAGAAAAAAAAATGAAACGATTCAACATAAGCAAGTTTATCAGAACTTTTAATTCCCACCTAAATTCATCGCCACACGTTTATAACGTCAATTAGTAAATGTATCAAAAACGAAACTTTTGAGATCACACGGAAGTCGGGTGCAAAGGGAAAAATGAATGTGAAAGGGACTTTTTTTCAACGCGAGTATCACATCCTAGATCTATATCCAATAAGTTTTGTTCGATTCAAGATGCTAGGCTAATACAAAGGCAAGCAATGTTCTTTGATGTAAAGGAGGTTCTTTATTATTGAGATACAACTGTTGTAGACTTCTAAGCTGACTCGATATCGGAGCTCTATAATTGGATCATTTGTCATATAACAGACTCTCTGGTTACGCTAGCATGGCAGCTGAGCATCCCAATAGACACATTCACACCTTCACAATCTGCTGTTTGTAGATGCAAGTGTTCTGGCCCGTAGCAAATTCAGCCCGATTCAAAATCGGGCACATTTTATTTAGCCTATTGCGAATCGGGCTACAGGCCAGAACGGTAATATTAATAAATGAGCAGGTGATCAGCCTTTGTTAATTGGCATTCTGTCATTATTACGTATTAGACAATATACGCCCATAATATATTGGCACGGACGTAATTTTTCGCCAGCTCGCTTCGCAAGACACTTTTAAGAAAATCGACAAGTAAAAATGGGATCGCATCCACAGATTTGACTTGCATCATCATTGAAGTAAGTTTCATTTTATACAAAAGTTCTTAACATGAGTTAGTCCGATGAGGAAAAACCAGTATCGAATCGATGCGGTGTTATGGCAGTTTATATCATATGTAGAAGGATTTCCGATATTTCTCCCTTCTAAACCGGAGAATGGACAGTTTTTCACGATTGCGTTTATATGGGCAAACATAATTCCGTGGAGGGATTTATCAAGGCTACTATCCGTCGCCCAGAGCAGATACGTTAGTCACTTGACCATTATGATCTTGCTTAGGGATTTGGCGGTCTGTTTGGGCGCTTTGGGTGTAGATGCTGAGGTTTCTCCTTAATCGCTGTGATCAATTAATTGCCTTTCCAAATGGCCATTTAATTTTTCCGAGTGACGTCACTAGTTACAGTTAGTATTGTTTAGAAGTTAATAGACATCTAATTGATCTATTCTGTCTATTTTTGTCAACGAGGAAAAGCCACTTACAGAAGTCGATATTGTCACGGGCAGACATGTGAATAGGCTCTTCAGATGCTAACAGATGATAAATGCAGATTAAATATGCGTACACGAACTTTCAACCAATAGCGGAATTACTATCCAAGCAGACTTCCTAAACAATCAAGAATGTAACTAATACGCAGCATACCGATTATACTGTATCACAATAAACAAAACCTACTAAAGAGCTTGCATATTTACATGTGTCTTTCATGAGCAGATATTCGGCTCAATTTTGATTTTCCGTCCTACCAAAATTATAACGAACTTCCTAAATTTGAATAATTAACAGGCAGGGAGTTTATCGCAGGGAAAACGAAAATCAGTTGTGGATCTTTGGAATACGAACAATTAATTAGTATCCCCAAAAAGTGGGATAGTGGACTGCCCATTGTGGATTAGGCAATTGGTAAAAGTGACAGTTGAGGAAATAACGAAAGACTTTTCGTTCCGGAATATGAACAATATACACCCGATAATAAACTGTTAATAACATGTTAATATTTTATTGGCATGTTTAACGTAACCAAAAATATTTATATCATGAATGAACGTAATGAGAAAGAAAAAAGACAAAAGAAAATGATATTTTGGTGGGTGAGGCTGAAACAAATGTTGGAAGAAAGAAAATGAAACAATAAAGTATACAAACTATGGAAAGTATAAGGGATTATTGATTTATATCGACAACAATGGGACCTTGTCACAAAGTTCCTGTGACACGTATTTCTTTATCTGGTATTTGAAGTAACCATGTGCGCACCATAATAATAATGAATATTAATTTTGACAAAGCAACAGCAGATTATCTTAGTAAAATGAAGCCAATAATATGATTGGAGTTCGAATATGCAACAATATGATATAATACAAATTAATAAAGGCAAATTTCTAAGTGATTCAGTGATGTGTCTATAATATTGTCTATTGATTAATTAAATATAATGATATACGTCAGTGCATTGCAATGGGAACCCGTGTATCCGGTAATGGCGTGATGTTCTGAGGTTGAGTCAACTGCAGAGTTTCAGGATCCAAGTCGATGCTACGTCTTTTGCGTCGATTCAATACATCTTTAAGTTCATGGACCATCTTTTCGCTGTCTTGTCGTGCTGCTCTGATTCTGGTCTTTAGCAAAAGAAATTAAATAAAGCGTTAGCATGCATATATACAATCAGCGTACCTATAACCAAAATATCATACCTCTTCTTCACGCTTAGCTCTCTGGACAATAATCCTTTCTTCTCTCGTCAATTTCTGCGAAAAATTTTTATACTTTTAGTTTCACTATAACTTGATATGTTCAAGGTCTTACCCTCCCCGAAACAAACCTTTTTAACTTCTGGCTCAGCATCAGCTTCGAAATACTGTTCGGGAACGTCAAGTGGTTCATCGATTTGTGTCCAGTCAATTACTGTTTTCTGCGAACTGTTCTCGTCATTGTCCGTTTCGCTACTCACAGTCTCTGACCGTGAGGTTTCCTCCTCATCAACAGAGTTCCGTGAAGCTATAACGTAAACGCAACAGACGAGGAATCAAATTAGTATGCAAATAAAATCATCTGTTCCCTGTCGTTTCCATTTCTCAATTCTCTATGTCTGTCACAACAACCTGTTTGCCTTACCTGGTACCCTATTTTTCGGTTCAATTATGTTGCTTAATGCTTCTTTACCCGTCTCCCATTCGCCTATCATGTAGTTGATGTCTTGGCTGATCGAATAATATTGATTCATCAGAACCTCCTTATCACTTTCACTAATAAGATCCGCTACGGAAGAGCCATCTTATAATGAAATTAATATCATTAATATGATTTCATACCAATCTTACTATATCAACAAACTTTCTTACCTTCATTATCGAAATATTTTCTTGTATCTTCGTTACAGATATACAATTTTGCTTGAATACCTCGCATGCTCTGTTCCATTGCAGCTAGCTTATGTAGAAAAGCCCTCAAAGTCTTATCTTCCGCGAGCGGAGCATGCTTAGCCAAGATATCCTGTTTAGACGATGGAATAGTATATGGCTCGGTCGCACATGCAGTAATGACATTATCCACCAACTTTCCAGTGACAGCTCCCAATTCGTTCAAATGCTCGTTAACATTTGCCCAATGCTGTTCATAATCTCTACGGTGAGAATCACGTCCAGGAGTCATTATACCCAGAGCAAGAAAGTGACATAGTAACTCTCTTCTCATATAATGCGTCTTGTGAAAACATTTCTTTAGATGATCCAACGAATTTACATCGTCTTCTTCGTCGTCATCAAGGTTCCATTCGTCCGACTCATTATCACTGATAATATTGTACATTTCGAACATTAGTTCCAAGTTCGCCTTGTTAACTTCGGGTTGAATGGTAATTATTGCACGTCGATAAGCCATAAAAGCCTCGCAAAGAAGACGTCGGAGGACTTCTCTTAGCGCAAGACATCGACGGGACTTGGAGTATTGTTCGATTCGAGTGATTGGAGAGAGTGGCATTGAAAGACGATAACCACGGGAGACCAGTTCTATTTCCTGGATCATAATCAATGCGCGGTTTATTTTCAAATCAAATATTTGGCAGTGGTAGACCAAGCTCTCCAAAAAGTATAAAGCAGAGTCATGAAGCGTTTTCATTGCTTTTCGTCTCTAGTAATTGAAAACAATTAGTAAGGTTGTTATTCACATGTGCGGGAATGACCTGTCTCTATAATACGTTCACTTGAATCAAAAGATCGCACACAGTCCTCTTAACTTCCAACTCGTGTAATCAAAGACTCTAACACTTACCATTCTCCTATATAACAAGAATGATACCGTCAACGCCACCAATACAACTATCGGCAGTTTTATCAAAACACCCACACCATTGCTGAATTGTTCGCTCTCGTTTCCAAAAATAAGTGTCAACAATATAATAATCATGATCCCGATAGCCGTACTTAGAATTATCTCGAAATTTCTCCTACTTAATCCACCAAAATATTGTCCAATGTCAGAGACATCGGTTGGCGTCGGTCGTCTTGTGTCGTAAAAATGTATTTACATGGTGTCATTGAGAAGGTGGGATGTGCATAGAATGTATTTAAAACGCTCTTCAAAATGAGTTTCTTCGTGTGCTGGGAGAGCAGTCGAGAGTGCTTCCTATTTTGCAGTTTGATCAGAGAGTAGAGATTTGTTAATGGGTTTTGTCGCGGTGAGAATTGTCAATAGGTAGTTTTGATTCGTTCACAAATGCAAGCTTATTTATTACAATGCTCATAAGACTCTTTCTTATATGCGCATACATAAACTCGACTCTTTATGCTGTTACTCCTTACCTTGACATAAGACACAACCTCGGCCGATGTCTTCCATAGTCTCTCACTCATAACCTTTTTCTTCTCCTCTTTATCGCAGTTGTATATTTCTGGTTGTTGTATGAGTTCTTCTTCGCTGCCTATTTCAGCTAGATACTCTGCAAATGGAGTATCTTCGTATACTATACTCTCTGCCATTGCGTGGGTTTAAAAATCAGGGAGTGAAAGGGATAGCAACAAGCAGTGTATATATATAGGTGTGTGTGGAAAAACCAAAAGTCACGTATGTATGCAATATTTATTGTTATTATGACAGCATGGTGGTAATTCTACGATTGGTCAAAGCTTTCGGTAAAACTATTGGTTGATACTAAGACAAATAACAAAAGTAAAATTACAGTTATAATAATAAATTAAATAAATTAATAAATGACCAAGTTAATTAATAATTTCTGATTATAATTTAGCTAAAGAAAGTCGTCATTGTAAATAAGCGTTAGTATCAACCAGTTTCGGTAACATCCGAGCCTCTCTACGCAAAAGGGTTTTTTCAGCAGTCCACAGATCAGAATACAGCTTATCTGACGAGGATCTCCAAGTCATAAGATACCAACTACTCGAATATTGAAAGTGACACGAATTGGGTCTATCCATAGTTATATTAGCGATTACGCCAAACAATCGACATTGTCTCCTAATCGATTAGTCGCCTTACGCCATTGGATAATTAGGGTTAAATAAACAATTATTTACGTAGATTCTTTCTTTTTGAAGTTCAGATTTGAAAAATAAATAGATAACAGGCACTGCCTAACGAAATATGATTTTAGACCTAGTCTTTCTTTTTCGAAATGGGTTACGCCAAGTATTGGTGATTCATAACTTGGTAATTTCGAGAGCACGGCATCTTTCGCATAGGGAAACTCGCGAGTACATAGGCTCCTGATTATATTGAATAAATCATACAAAGATCAGTTTCTTCGCGTTGCTAGTACAGAACCTCGACTAGTACCTAATTGTAAAGAGTAACAAATTCTACGGCATGTGTGGGCAACATATTCGCAGTGAATAAAACTGTCGTTGTAATATTGAACGTTGGGTCTTGTAGTAAATGTTTACAATTGATATGCTATCCGGGTAGCTTCAAACCTTTTTTCCACAATACCGTAAATGCAATCCAAGCATTTTGCTCGGGGACTTTGTGAATGACGAATTCACCAAGTGCAACTCAGTGATTTACATTGAAATCGTATGAAGAATGGCTAACATTCCAAGTCGATCCTTGTTTTTCTCATTTTACAATAGCTTTGAAACTAACGGAAGAATTTTAAACTTTTCGAAATAGTAATCAAATACCAATGGTTAGCACTAGTGAGCATTGAAAACGTACTAATTTAACAAGAGATTATTAATGGTGTCTAGTTTATTTTTTGTTTGCAAGATCTTTAGCAGCCGCAAAAACTGATTTCTCTTCAATAATGTAATCTTCCACAAGTTTGTCAATAACAGAGAAATTCTGATTCGGCGGTCTTCTTCTCACTGTGTTAGCACTGATTTGCCAATGAATTTCTGTCTTGGTTTCAGTAGGTTGATATGTGACCCAAGTCCCTCTACTGTATACGTAATATTATTAGGAATCTCAAACAGTAGCTAATCGCAATACATTGCTACAATAACCAGAATATTCCAAAGTGTTTAACATGCTTGACCTGCTCTGTTAATAGCTTATTGTTGTGAACTAAAGTTTCCTTGCCGAATACCTTCCCAAGATAATGAATCCAATCTTTAAGCAGTAATGCCATGATATGAACCAGAGGTAAAAGTTGAATACACTCGTTACCATATACTGATAGATAATATATGAGATATGTGCTGCTTCTCATTTCGAGGAGGTTAATCGCGTAGTAATATCGATAATAGAAAGGATATTCGAGTTAACGTCTAAGCTGATTCTAGTGACAATAAGATCTATAACTTGTGATAAATATGTGATCGCAGAACATGCCTTTATCTAAATGTTAACCTTATTATTACGCGATCAAAGCAAAGCACGCTCTTCGATAAGTCTATGCTAAAGTACATGTTATTAGAACCAGCAAACTCATCACCGTTAGTGTCATAGTTGCTTACAAATTAATTCTTCATTTTGTATCAGATGCATGCGTAGAGATGCTTATCAGCAGGACTGTTGTCTCACCAATTAGAATTATGCGAGGTATTAGGTTACGTTAACGTTTGATGATACGAAATTAATTATATAAAGAAAATCAAGTTAATTACCACGGGAGAGTGATTGGCAATTAACAACCGAGGTTGGCAATACCTCTACTTTGTATTTACAGTTAGTGACCTTAAATTAGGTTGTTATACTCGCGACTCTTACGCGCGATCTTGTATACACAGACTCAATTACTATACTCTATCGCTATCAATGGTACTAATTCGATAGTTTGTAGGAATGTTTATATCAAAATAAACGCGTTTATAGACAATTAATCAGCAATCGTACTTTGCCAACTCGGAATTCGATGGACAATATCAATTCTAGTAGCGAAATCTGTGATTTGCACACACCACTGTTACGGTCGGATGGTCTGGGGTTTGGGAGAGCGATTAATTTTTCGCGTAGGGGTGTTCTTCCGACCGGGGGATGTTACCAGATTTAGCTTCGTACTACCGCCTTCATTATTATTACGGTAGTTGTTCTACAAGTGACCTAATTAATAATTAAACTCAGTCACTCGAATGTAAATAAAATTTTATTTAATAATTAAACATGGCTGTCTTCGATTTGGCTTTTCGACTAGTCAGATTCCGTCACTTGTCTCTAATAACAATTTTCGTTTCAGTAAATAATTATTGGCTCTCAATTAAGAGTAATAGATTAGTGGACAGCTTATACAGCTTAAATAGAGCCGTTTATACGTACGTAGCTTGGTAGAGCCGTTTATTAGTGTGTCCGGTCAAATAATTAATATTTCAAAGTAAAATTTCGATTTCAAAGTGAATCGTTTCTTTGATTATTAATGTTCCGTGGAATAGGTACTTAACAACATTTACAACATGAGAATTCGACGACGGGATAAGTATTATATACGTTTAGCGACACTCAAAAATCGAAACGGAGCTAAAATAATTAAATAATCGTAATTTCTATGAAGAACCAATCATATTCTAAGTTAGCTAATGGCGTTTGTGCATCTGACACTGGACGCCCTAAAATTAAGGGGAGATTTTACCATGTGACTCGCTTATCTGATTAACAGCCCAACCCCCCCCCCCCCCTATCCTCCTCCTCCGACGTCTACTACACGGTTGCCGACAATATTCTGGAGGCTTATGAGAACGACCCGGAAACATTCAATTTCGGAGTGTTTTGTGACCTCATTAGCACGCAAAACATCATATGTGATTACTGCCCCCCTCCTCCGCCGCCGACGACGACGACGTCTACTATACGGTCACCGACAATATTCTGGAGGCTTATGAGAACGACCCGGAAACACTCGATTTCGGAATGTTTTGCGATCTCATTAGCACGCAAAACATCATATATGATTACTGCCCCCCTCCCACTCCTCCAATGTCGACGACGTCTACTACACGGTTGCCGACAATATTCTGGAGGCTTACGAGAACGACCCGGAAACATTCGATTTCGGAATGTTTTGCGATCTCATTAGCGTTAGACGCAAATGATTACTGCCCCCCTCCCACTCCTCCAATGTCGACGACGTCTACTATACGGTTGCCGACAACATTCTGGAGGCTTACGAGAACGACCCGGAAACATTCGATTTTGGAATGTTTTGCGATCTCATTAGCACGCAAAACATCATATATGATTACTGCCCCCCTCCCACTCCTCCAATGTCGACGACGTCTACTACACGGTTGCCGACAATATTCTGGAGGCTTACGAGAACGACCCGGAAACATTCGATTTCGGAGTGTTTTGCGATCTCATTAGCACGCAAAACATCATATGTGCTCCTCCCACTCCTCCAATGTCACATGTAGTGATACACACAGTCATTCCCATCGTAGAATTCAGGAAAATTAGTTCTTACAACTGTCGTATATTTAAGAACTTCCTTATCGTCTATGCCATATGTGCCCAGGCTCTCACTGAAGCAGAGTGGAGTGATGAGTGAACGCATGAGCTGCGCGACAGCTGGCTACGATAAGATTAACTGAAGGATTTGTGGATTATATCAACGATCTGATTGATCTGTCGTTACGATACTTGGATGGTGGAACTACAACTCCTTGTGTATTTCGTCCGCAAAAGGGTCCAAAAAACCCGTCATGCTGAGGACAAGTAACTTTGGTCTCCCGACATCTATTAATATCGATCCTGTCTAAATGATATCTGCGATTGGCAACTTACAACTATCCCTCCAGTTTATCAGATTTATCGTTTTACGTTTAAACCTCTCAGATTCTGAAATGGAGATCAAACACAATCGTGTTAAACAGACATTCACGAGAGATTCGAATTCTCTTTTCCGTTATATTGTGTTTTTCTCACTCATCCCACTTGCAACAGCATCTACGTGGGGAGGCTGAAAAGTTTTGCACGCGGACCTTTATTTCCAGAAATTTCATAATAACTATGGTACGAATACGTCTTGGGCAGCACATATGGCGACAATCATAGCAATACCTCAGGACGGCACAATCAATCCAAAGATCATTGATAAGGAATTGGTTTTGAAGCATCTCAACAGACGAAGAATACAACGCAGACCAAACTATTGTTGGAGGGGGATGCTCTAACATTACGGGGATCGAAATATAAAGAGGCGGTATCTAATAAAGATACACGCAAGAAAAGCTCCGCCGAAAATAGGATAGCGGCAGTGCATCAGTCGATACAGAATCAGCCGCCGTCGTCAGTTAAAGTGAAAAAGGAGCCGTCGATCGAAAATGCAAGGACGCCACGAAAGACGATAAAAGTCATCGACATTGCATCTGAAGTTGTTAAAAGGAAAAGGGGGAGAGTAGCAGTTGATAAAGAAGATGACGACGAAACGATAGTAATAGATGAGGTGTACGTAAACGACGATGGGGAAAAGTGACCGAAAAGGGGTAGACCGGTGGAAGTTTCGCAAAGTGGAATAAAAAGGGAAGAATCTTGCGGGAAAATCGAATTAAGGTTTAGGGGAATATAGGGCTTAGGATAGAAATGTAGTAATAGTAATTGAATAACCAATCCATTATTCAAAAATAACAACAGCGTAAATTCATTGTTGATGTAAATAATTACATGCATAAAGTCAATAAAATTTATATATAGGAATACCCGCATATGGAAATTTATAATTATAACAGTTCTTGGTAAATTTCATAAGTAATTTTTCTTTATCTAGATATTCCTGGAGAGTTTGGGTATTGTTGATTCTAAAAACATATGGAGCTTTAGAATGCCGATCTGATGAATCAGATAAGTAAGTCACATGGTAAAATCTTCCTCCGCAGTCAAGAAAAATCCCATGATCGACGTTAATTTTAGACGGCGTTGCGTTTTAGGCACCGTGTCGAATTTTGAGTGTCAGCACAAACGCAATTAGCTAACTTAGAAAACGTTTCGAATTTTGAGTGTCAGCACAAACGCAATTAGCTAACTTAGAAAACGTTTCGATTTTTGCGTGTCAGCACAAACGCAATTAGCTAACTTAGAAAACGTTTCAATTTTTGCGTGTCAGTACAAACACAATTAGCTAAATTAGAATATTATTGGTTCTTCATAGAAATTACGATTGTTTCGATTTTTGAGTGTCGCTAAAGATATATGAGCGACCCTTATCCAATTGTCGAATTCTCATGTTATTTAATGCTATTTAATGTTATTAATGTTCACGTCGTTAATGTTGTAAATATTGTTCATATTATAAATTGTTCAGGCTCTTAGAACAATAATTCCCACTCCATGGAATAATAATAAACGATTCCCTTTGAAATCGAAACTTTACTTTCTTTCATTG